GTATTCATTTTAATATTCTGTTCAATAAGTCTCTTTGAGTGGCTTTAGGAAGCTATTAATAGTTTTTGTAAAAAGTTTATAGTAAGAAAAATTACAGTAAAATACTTTGAAATAATGGTTCAGTTATTGGGAATATCCGCCTGTGTGTATCAAATTATTTTTGCTGCTTTACATTGCTGAAATTCATGGCATGAATACAAAATCTTAATTTCATGATACTGCACCATACAAAGCTCACACTTGCCTGTACTATTATGGGATATTAGGCTAATTGGTACAATATAAATTTTGTTGACACCTTAGCAGAAAATTGATTATGGTATAAAAGTGTTCAGTTGGTCTCACATATGGATAATCTTAATTGTGGAGCTCTTGGACAGAGAGATACGTCTTCCCAACAATAGTAATAAAGAGCCGATTTCATCTACTAAGATTGCATGCAGCATCTGTTATTCATAGTCAAAGGAGTACTTCCAGCATGCACAGATGGAAAAGCACAGCCCTTTAAACAGTTGCATCATTTTAATGAAGTGTATTTAATATAGGAAGGCGCTTCTCAAAAATTATAAAAAGATTTCTACAAGAAGAGAACTTGGTCAACTTTTTTAAACACTCCACACAGTTACTTTAGATTTTTGAAGGAGTATTAAAATTACTAACTTCCGTAAATTATAGTTTACTCCTAAAATTAACAATGAAGCTATCCCCATTCTCATAATACAGGGTTCTCCTAACTATTGGCATTGCCTTCTTTTATTATGTATAGCTATATTTAAAAGAAAATGTGCAACCACAGAAAGGGCGTATATTTGATTTTTATGGAGAGGCATCATAAATTCAACGGATTATTGCTGTTTATTCCTGAGATACAAAAGTAGATGAGTACCATCCGAAACTTTTATGCTTTATGGGGCCAGCAGGTGGCGTGGTGGTTAAGGGCCCTGGACTCCCACATGGCTGGTTGCAGTTCCTGTCTTGGACCTGGTGTCTTGCTTTCTTACTCTCTCTCTCTCTCTCTCCCTCCCTCCCTCCCTCCCTCCCTCCCAACCTCCCTCACAGTTTGAGTCCTAGACGTAGAGGTTTGCTTTCCCACTTTCTCTCTCTCACACAAGCACATATGCCCTGAGGAAATCTTCAAAAAGTAGTAATAATAATACCAAATAAAACAAATAATTCTTTACAAAAAAATTAAATCCAAAGTTAACCTAGGTTTTACCAACTTTGAAATAAGACATTATTTCACATAGATTAAATTTATAGTCATAGCTCATGAATTTATTCTTGTACATATAAATATTTAGCCATCTGGCACTATTTCAAACATTTAACTATATATTCCATTTAAACATAGTAAAATAGTTCATCGATTCTGGGAAAAAAAAAAAACAAAAAAGTTTAGTATTTAAGAAAAATTCTGAGGCAACAGCATAAAAAATTAGTATTCTAGGGACTAGCAGATCGTGAAGCAGTTACATCACTGGACCTCATATGACTAACTGCAATTCGAGTCCCAGATCCGATGGCTTCACGCTCACACTGGGCACATGTGCATGTGTGCCCCAAGATCTGAGAAGAGAAAGGAGGAGAAAGGATTGCAGCGTGGCCAACCCCTGTGGGTGGGAGTGGGGGTGATTTCTTATTTTTTGATTCTCTGGTAAGCGCGTGTGCCCTACAATAAAAATATCTCTTAAAAAAAAAAAATTAAAGGGGCCAGCAGGTGGAATAGTGGTTAAGGGTGCTGGACTCCCACATAGCTGACTATAGTTCGAGTCCCAGAACTGGTGGCTTGTTTTCTCACTCCCCACCCCCACTCTGTCCCTCTCTGGTCAAATACAATAAATAAGGTTAAATAAAATAATTCTTTTTTAAAAAGGAAATTTTTATTTTTTACAAAGCAATCATTCTTCCCATTTTTTTCTACATATTGATGCAATTCTAAATAGGTATTAACTAGCCAAAAGGCAAACTCATGCCTATTTTATTCATTGCCTTCATTTATTTTAATGAGGTTAAGTTTTTACTTACTTTCCATCAAAATGCTGCTTTGCTGCAATACATATTGGAATGCCATCAGTGTTATACATTTGGTTAATTCCTTACTAATGTGCCATTACTGCTATCTGCTGTGCACTGAGAATCTCCTCGATCTCAAAGACAAGTATGATATTAGAAAGTTCACAAAACAATGTCATTTTAAATAAAAACAGGGGGAAAAGATCATTTAATAGGAGTTTCAATGGTAACAGAAGGCCAAAATGTATATTTTTCTTAAGGTGAAAATGTACATTTTTAATGGAAAGTTAAAAAATCTAAAATATCACCTGTACTTAACCTACTATAATTTAGAAAATATTGAATGTCATGTCATGAGCTACACTACGCTATCAGAAATATTTTGTTCTACATATAGTCAGATGGATGACAGAATAGAGGAGAAAGAAAAAGAGATAGAAAGTACAGTTCAAAAAGAAAATGTCAGGTCAGGAGATGGCATGCAGATCGAGGCAGCTGGATCCCACATGGCTAATTTCATGGTTCAAATCCCAGACCCAAGTGTCTGAAAAAGATGCTAGGCATGTGTGCATGCATGCCCAAAATCCTGAGAGGAGAACAGAAGAGGAAGGACTATGGTGGTTGTTCCCCCAGAGGGTGATTTCTCATGTCTCCCCCTTCGCTTTCTTTCTCTGTCTCCAAATAGTACACACTCAATATAGCAAAAAAAAAAAAAAAAAAAACACACAACACAATTTTTAATTAATTTCAAAAATACTATAGACTTAAAAAAAATGACCAAGAAAAAATAACTAGCATGCATTCATTCAGGTATTGGTTATTCATTTGTCAGACTTAGGCATTAGAATTCTGTAGTATGCAAAACCAGTAGGGTATAGATAGTAGACAGAGTTAGAAATATATAGCTTGATAAAGAAGATCTACTAGAGTAACTGACTTGCATGATTATGGAGACTGAGAAGTTCCACAAAATGTCATGTCATCTAGAGAATGAGGGAAACCAGCGGTGTGGTTCAGTCTATGTCCGCAGGACTGAGAATCAGGAAAGTCGACTCAAGGCCAAAGGCCTGAGAATCTTGGATCCCCTGCTGCGTGTCCCAGAGTCTGAAGCCTGGAAAACCTTATATGTGATCTGAGGGCAGGAGAAAATTGGTGTCCTAGCTCAAAAAGAGAAAGGGAAAATTTGCCTCCCCTGTGCCTTATTTATCTACCCCGGTGCTCAGGCAATTGGATGATGCCACTCATGTTGTTTGTGAGGGGACGTTTCTCACACAGTCCACTGATTATAATGCCAATCCCTTCCAGAAATATCTTCACAGACACACCCAGAAGTAGTGCTTGACCAGCTATCTGGATATCCTCTAATCCAGTCAACTTGACATCTGTCAATAAAATTAAGCACTACAACTTTTGAATGCCTTTGTGTTTCTTTTCTCTTGTTATTGAGTGAAACATGTGTTGTGCATGTTTTCTTTATCTAGGGGCTAATAAGAAGTATTTTTAACTTTATTCATCTTTTATTTGTTTCATGAACAGAAGAGACAGAGAAGGAGAGAGTGACAGAGAGAACAGGCCCTTCAATAAGATCTCAATGTTGTACTCCCGCCTCGGTGCCAGCCAGTTCTGGATTGTGGGCACGTGGAAGACTGGCTTAGCCAGGAAGGTCTCCAGGTGCAAACCTGAACCTATGGGGACCACCCTCAGGGTGTTGTGACATGGCTACACCACTGTCCAGGCCCTGGAAATCTTAAACATGTAATTATAAATGTATATATTCTCCAACATTCCTAGTTAATCTTTGGGTCACTTGGTCATCGTTACTTTTTGTTCTGTTTTGTTAGCCACTCTGTTACATACTTGTTGACTAAACCCACAGGAAATTGTGGCACAGGATGATCAACAGTTTCTCATATTTAGAACATTTTCCTTCTCTTTTAAGGGATTTAAAATAAAAGCAATTGATTGATTTATTAATTATTTGTACAAACATTTATTTGGCACATCATGTGACAGTTATTTGCTGCCCTTTGATATATAAGGAATAAACCTCACTCCTTCTATGGAATGTAATATGTGTGATATGATAAATACAGTATGCGGGAATACTATCATATGCTCCTTTTTTCACCAAAATATACCTTATCACCTAGACGAAAACCAAAGAGTTATATTGATTCATTCAATTTACAAGATAAATGAGCCTCGTTATGCACCAAGTGCGTGTGAAAATATAAAAATGGATGCTGTTTTACACTGACTTTATGAAGCTTACAAACTAGCATAAAAACAATTTGACTTCTGTTGTAGAAAAGCTTCTGTTTAGCAATATATTAATTTGTTAGATTACTATTATCATTTCTTTGTTGAAAATAAAATTGATTTAGGGCACACATGCTTTTCATATATACAGATATGTAAAATGGTGTGTGTCCTTAAGAAATGACTGACAGGCTAACATTGTTTAATCTCAGAACCGTGCCTCTCCAGCGCAGAACTCTTCTCCCTCTCACACTGTATCCCTGTACCAAGTGGGTTTCCAAAAGCCAAGGCATGTCCAAAGACAAGTGACCACTTTGACCTCCATTAGTGCACTCCACTCAGAATCGTCCTTACTTTTCTTTACCTTTCTTTGTTGTTTTCTCTAATAAGCAAAATGTACCTGCCTAGAGTTCCATTCTCAGACACAGGAGGAACAACTTAATCAGAATTTACGAAGGGATACACGGGCTGCATGCCACCATGCTGAGAGTACTAACATTTGAACTGCAAAGAACTTTAGTAGACTTCTAGCTGTTTCATTTACCATTGAGATCGCATTAACTTTCTGAGTCTAAATGTATAGATTATACAAAAGGAATGACACCATCAATGTCATAGACCTTGAGTGAAATTCAATGAATATCACAGAAAATATATCTAGTCCAATGCTGTACACAGGATTGATTAGGATTTAATTTCCTTATGATTCCACTTTGTATTTTAGCCGAAGACTCTACTTGAAGCTTAAGAAATGACACATATCCTCAACCTCTTGGTAACTAGAAGATAATTACCAGGTAGACTTACAGTGTATCATCAATATAATTCTTCAAAGAATTTTTTCTGATCCTTTTCTGTCTTTAAACCTTAAAAAAAGGTATCTATTTAATGGCACAACGTAGATAAACCTCCAGAACTGCTTTGTTACATAGTAAGAGGCAGCAGTATATTTTGTTATTATAAATAAAATATAAGCAATTCTAAATGGATTTGTGGTTTACATTTTACCACTTTTAATTTTTAACTGAAAATAATGCTACTAATCATGTTTTTCCACAATGCCTGTGAGATTAAAAAAATAAATAAATGTGGCGAGAGTATAGTTTATGCCCCTATAGACTACTTTTCCAAAAATCTCAATTAAGTGTTCTCTAGGGCTAGCAGCTTTGAAGAGAAATATTGTGCTTTTCCCTTGCTGCCACTACTGGAAATATTTCTAAAGTTAGCTAACACTTTTTCTTTGTAGCACCATATAGGAATACAGAAGGGCCAGAATCTTGAGATGTGTCAAATTACTTTTGGAAATAATGACTTGTTGCCATGGTAACCTAGAGCCTAACGACTATATCACAAGATCTCAGTCCAGGTATGAAATGAACTGCACCAGAGACTTTAAAATAGTGACTCAGTTCCCTGAATCAGAAACAAGTTTCATATTCTTTTTTTCTTTCAAATAATAGATGATACAGTATCATTTAGTAAATGAACCCTTAACTCACAACTAATTTTTTTTTCATAAAACTGTAGAGAACTACTATGTATAGATAGAAGTGATTTAAAAATAGGATAATTAAAATATCCTCTAGGTAATCTTTGAACATGTCTTTTTTTTATTTCATTTTTCCATCGCCTGACAGACATTGGTAATATGTTGTTTATATACAAGTAAAATGTACTCCCTTTAGACTGATAGCGCCACTTTCTGCTTTTCTCTGATCAAGTCATGAATTTTGGTTAAGAAACAGTAGAGAGGACAGTGGGCAGTAGAGGGTTTTCTTCTGTTCAGAGATTGGCACTGATTCTTATCCTACTAACTAGGAGAAATGAGTGCAGCGCTGCCAGTTGTGTGATGTATCCCCTCTAGACAAATCAGGGTACTGACAATCCATGCTCAAGGAAGCTGCGCAGGATGGGAAAACGATATGAGACGACAGAAGACACTGAGGTGATCTTTCATGGCTCCACCTACACGAGATCTGACTTGGACGTGATGGTCCCTCTACTCTTCGACTTGACTCTTATTGCCATCATTTGAAAAGCGTTGCGTCATGTCAAGAAATTATTTAACAATCCAAGTCATTTCTGATACGGAAATCAAAATAAGTAGTTTGCATTTCCTTAATGATTGTGTGAAACTGAGAGGAAAATTAAATAAATGTCAATTATAAGAAGAATAAATAAAATAACAATCCTTCCGTCCTGGAAATCCTGGCACTGTGCGAGCACCAGTGGATGAACTCTACCCCATACTTCCCAGGAGAGAGTTGTCAGGATGTACCACCTTCACCCAGCTCTATGCAATTGGTGTGGAGAACGGAAGCAGAGCTTCAGGTCAGGTGAGCCAGGAAAGGAAACCAGACTCACTCCCACTGGTCTTGGTAGTTCATCTAAGCAGTCAGCATCTCATTGTGCTTGAGAAATGTAGAAGCAAGGAAAAAATTAACTTGCTTTGCCTAGAGATGCCAATCTATGTTGGAATATGTAAGCATTAAAAAATTTTTCAAACTAAAAATTAAATAAGGAAAAATTGAAAGCCCTAAACTAAATCCAGTGACCATACCCACATGGACTCTACTGGAAAAACCTGTCACATATTTTGGTAAATTATGTTGAAACTCAGTAGTTACAATGGTCTCTGTCTGTTTTTAACTTTGCTAGAGGGCATGTTAGAGGACACATGACTTCTCATGGTCTGGGCCAGCTGAAATCTGGGGGTGGATGGTGCTCAGGGGAAGGAGCTAGAGCTAGAGAATGAAAGCACAAAAGCAACCCCCGTGGAGCACGTCACGCCACAGACCCTTCTCTATTTCTTTTCCCTTCAAGATTTTGGGCTTGCACACACATGTACATACACCCAGCGTGTTTCTTAAACTGCTGAGTACAGGATTCGAACTGCACCGTAGGCTATGTGGCACTCAGCTGCCTTACCCACCACACCATGGGCTGGACCTTCTTCTTTTTATTTATTACAATCTAATGGTAAAAGATTTTTAAAAATCAGCTCAAATGCTAGAGATACAAAGACAAATATATAAGACTATTTGACTTGAAATAACTTATTGTCAAGAAAATGACCTATGTACAAATAATTATATCGAAGCATTGTAGGATCCTTGTGAGAGAGATATGCTCCAGAGATCACTTTCCATGGAAACCTAGACTCTAATGAATCTATCACAGGTCTCAGCTCAAGTACGAAATGAACTGCGGTTAGGGCTGACAGCCTTCCTGAAAAAAAAATGTATTAGAAGAAACGTGTTGGTTGATCTGGGTCAGGCAAGCACTTAGTAGAAGGGAATCTCTCATTTCATAAAGGAAGAGGCCCAGCTGTGGTGGTGCAGGCAGTGGGGTTCACCATATGATACGGAGACAAACGGGAACCCCCCAGGTTTGGATCCTGGGTTGACCTAAACGTTAAGGGGGGACTCATAATCATGGCTGCCTGGGAGGCTGAAGGGAATTTCACAGCCTGGGGAGACCCTGTCAAAATTCTCCAAGCTCTCAAAGAAATTGGAGAAGGTTTCCACTCTGGCCCTGGAAACTCTTCAGTCTTTTCTTCACTTTTAAATCCCATTTGCTCTGTGGGGACAAAGTCTCTATAAAATAAGGGAGAATAGTCTGAGATTTAACAATGTCTTTTCTCCTTTTTTTTCCCCCAACAGGGCCAGGAAGAAGACAAGAACAAGTTCCAGAGATCTGCTCTATGACATTGAGCCTACAGTTAACATGGTGCTATTGCATGGACACTCAAGTGTCTGTGAAGAGGGTCGATCTCATGTTAAGTGATCTTACCACAATAAGATAAATACAAAAATGAGCTTTAAAAAATGTAAAGAGGGCCGGGCCCTGTAGCACAGTGGTTACTTGGGCTTTAGTGAAAACTAGATCCCACATGGTTGATGGCAATTCGAGTCCTGGCCTTGATGGCTAGAAAACCAGGTCAGGCACATGCATGCATACCCATAATCTTGACGAAATGGAGAAATGGATGAAAACAACTGTGATGTGACCACGGTCCACAGTGGGTGTTTTCATTCTCTCTTTCTCTGGAGAGCCCATGCACTCTCTGGCAATGAAACAAAAAATCATGAAAGGAAAACAGACTTTCTCAGGAAAAAAATTTAAAAAGCCTGTGGAAATTCACTGCTAGCAGATCTTCTTTCCCATAAGAAATGACACAGGAAATTTAAGACAGCAAAAGAATGACATCAGCCAGAAACTCAGGTCTACATAAAGAAAGGAAGTGTCAGATAAGGAATAAATAAAGAAGGCAAAAGAAATGTTTTATTTTTCATTCTTAACTGATACCAAAATAATTGCCTCCTCAGAGCAAGCATGGAACCAGTGCGCTGGGTCATAACCGAAATGAGCGACATTAACGTCAAAATGGCTGAGAAAGAGGATCTAAGAAGATGCTGTCATGATCTGCCTGCACTGCAAATGAAGACAGGCTTATGTTCTGAAATTATTATTCTTAAGACTAAAAAAAGATTTATAAAAGGGGCCAGCAGGTGGTATAATGGTTAAGGACACTGGACTCCCACATGGCTGACTGTGGTTTGAGTCCCAGACCTGGTGACTCGCTTCTCATTTTCTCTCTATCTTTCTCCCTTGCTTTCTCACACTGTTCCTCTCTGGTCAAATTAAAATGAATGAATGAATGAATGAATGAATGAATGAATGAATGAATAAATGTTAAATAAAATAATCCTTTAAAAAAGACTTAAATTATTAAAAGCTCCATTATAACAACAATGATTTTTTGAGAGATATTTGCTATAGTGTGTGTGCACTCACAAGAAAGAGAGAGAGAGAAACAGAGAGACAGAAAGCAAGAAATCCTGGGGGAAAGGCCATGACACAATCCCTTCTCCTCCAGTCTCTTCTCCGGATTTTGGGTCCATATGCACATGTGCCCAGAGTGAGTTTCAAGTCACTGAGTCCATTACTTGAACCATGCTAGGCTATGTGAAAGTCCAGTGTTGTAACCATTACACCATCTGCCAGTCCCAAGAATGATAAAGTTTTTAAAATCAACATAAATGATAATTCAACAGAAGAAATGAAATATAATCATGTAAAATGTTCAATTAATAGCTAAGATCACAGGGAAAGGGAACAGAGGAAGAATCAGTAAAATGCAATGTACAGAAAACAGTTAATGCTGGGACCAGTGAGTGGCATGATGGTTAATGTGCTGGACACTCCCTCACGGCTGACCATGGTTCGAGCCCTGGACCTGGTGGCTTGCTTTCTCAATTTTTCTCTCTCTCTCTTTCTCTCTCTGATCAAATTAAAATAAATGAGTGTATAAATTTAAAAAAAATTTTTCGAAAGAATACCACAGTAGGTTTGTTACAACTCAATAACAATTACTTCAAATTTGGATAGTATAAACACGTCCATCATAAGATTGCAGCTCAAGTCCAGAATTGGTGCAGCAATAAAACACAGTATTCTGACAGGCAGTTCCACAAGGGAAGATTCCAACTGGAAGTCTGGAGACCTTCCGAAATAGAGATGACACATGACTCCCCATGGTCTGGGCCAGCTGAAATCTGAGGGTGGATGGTGGCATGTGGCATACACTTTATTCTCTCTTTCATGAAAAAAAGAAACTTAAAAAGAAAACAATTGTGTTCCTAGTTATTTATTTAGAGAAATGAAAGTAGATGTCTACACAAGACTTTGTATGACTATCCAGAGCAGTTTGCTCAGAATAATAAAAGAAAAGTATGGCAATAGTTAAATAGATAAGCAAACTGTGGTATTTCCATATGAAGGAATACTATTCAGCAATAAATAGGAATCTATCACTGATTTAAACTTACATGCAATTAGCTAAGTAAAATAGTCAAATAGCAATGTCTTCTTGTTGCATTATTCCATTCACCAGACATTCTGGAAAAGGCAAAACCACATGGAAAACAGAGTGACTGCTAGGGCTTGGGGTAGAGGGGAATGTTTGACATGGAAAGTGAAGCAGAGTGTCACAGTGACGGACAAATCTGAAAGGTACTGTAGTGGTGGATACACATTTGACAAATAAGTCTATGTAGCACAGTGACTAAACAATTCAAACAGGACATCATGGGGTCCCAAAGAAATGACAACTCTAACAAATGAGTCAAATCGGAATGCAAGTGGGTACCATCACCACCCCACACAGAAGGACGTGGGGAAGGGACTGATGTAAGTAACTTCGGGGAAAAAAAAGTTTCTGGATTGGAACCTGGAAAGGTAAACATAAAAGAACGTGTGCGGAAACTATGTCCTTCATGGTCAAAGGTTTTCCCATGAAGATGAAGGTTGAAAATTCTGAAATTTTTTTTTTTTTAAATTTTTAATTTTTATTATTATTTTTTTTTTTGGAGAGATTTTCACTATAGGGCGCGTGCGCTCACCAGACAGACAGAGAGAGACATTAGAGACAGAAAGCGAGAAATCACCCCCCAGGGGGGATGGCCATGCCGCAATCCCTTCTCCTCCATTCTCCTCTTGGGATCTTGGGCACACACGCACACGCGCCCGGAGTGAGTTTTAAGCCACCGGGTCCGGGACGCGAACCACGGTCGACTACGTGGGAGTCCAGCAACATAGCCATTACGCTAACTGCTGGTTCCCTGAAATTGTTTAACATGTATACTGCAACTGATAAATAAATGGAGAGTGGAAATGGGAACTAGATTTCTCACAGAGACTAAAACTAATAAGCATGCTGGGAGACAGGAATAAACTCCTGCATGGTGGAGCCAGAGCGCTGAGTCTCTGAGTTGGCGGGGCTGGGGTTTCTCCAGTTCTACCTCACTTTCCCAGATCAGTCCTTCTGCAATATGGAAGTGTGTGTGTGTGTGTGTGTGTTTGTGTGTGTGTGCGTCCACGTGCACAGCGGGTGTGTAAGAAAGGAAGAGGTGGAAGTAAAGCCTGGGTAAATGCCACTGACTCCTTCTGCTCTGAGAATCGATATATTTCCTTGAATATTCATTTCTCAATTCATTCTATGTACTTTGGTCAATT